TTGAAAGTAAAGTTCTATTTTGGAGTTAGGTTTCCATGTCTTACTATGTTTGTTAATTTTGGGAAACTATATATGCAAGCTTTTAGGAATTTTGTTTTCCTGTAGGGGATATTAATGTCTTAGTTTTCTCTATTTAAGACAACTTCATTTCTTAGGGATGTGAAGACACTGTAAAAGCAACACCTGTCAAACTCTTTCAGCTTTTTGCTTGATATATATTTATAAGTATATTGTGAATAGTCTTACACTATTCCCTGTAGTGGCTCTACATTGGATTCTAAATATGACTATCAGCTACTAAACATAGTGATTTCATATCTATTATGGGGGATGTTGAAGCATTCAGTTTGGACCTAAGTCAAAATGATAACAATGTATCCCTTGCATTTCTTTTCCCTCAGTATCACTTATGTATATCATTTTACTTGAATTTTCTAGTTTTGGAAGAGGGAGGCAGAGATTCTAAGGCAACAACTACAGATTCTACAAGAAAACCATCGGTACAAACTTCTAAATTTATTTAGCAATTTTTTTATATTCTATACAAGTAGATAAAACAGGACATTACAGTACTATAGTAGATTGGCTGTCATGTCATGTTGCACCCAATCCAACAAAATGTCCATGATATATTAAGATTTTACTGACATTGCAAGCTCTATTCAGTCTCAAATCATTAGCAATAACTTCCTAATTTTTTTTTTTTTGACAGAAGTAATCCTCTTATTGAATTTGCAGAAAAAACCAAAACTAAGATTAAGAAACCATGAAGTAATCAAACATTAGCTACTTTGATGGGAAAAATAATGCAATGGTTATTGTCATGCGCTGCCATTAAGTGTCCTCTTGTGTTTGTTACTGTGTCAATACTACCAAATAAAACAATTAACTCTGCACTGATAATTTGAGCAGAACTTACAAACCTAAGATTGAATTAGAAGTGAGGACCTGGAGTATGAAATCCTCTACTACTGTATCAGCGAGTTTATAGATAAAAATACACAAGAAGATCCAAGAAATAAAAATGTAGACTCTTAGAAAATTAAACATCATCACGCATACTTTCTTGCTCTTGCTAGGAAGAAACATAGACTTATGTATTTGAATATTAACAATTTCCTTTCTTTCTCTAAATCACTCACACGGTAGTTCTTTCTTTTTCAGAATAACATGAAAAATAGTCCATGCATAAGCAGCACTCACTTTTATCTCCATCTTAGACTACTTACAATAAACATTAATACTATGTCTCACCAGGTACAATCCATAAAGAAGGTTGTGGCAGAAGTGATGACCTTCTTACTTTACTTTTTCTTCTCTAAATTAAGTAAAGGAAACTTCACATGTCAATCATAGAACTATGTACACGATACGATTGGATTGAATAAAAATTCAACTGCAGAGTTCATTATCAATCATACACTACTTTAATGCACAACATAAACTCCAAAACAGTCAAATGAGAAGTCATTTTTCACTTTTGCCAATAGCAGATAAACCAACGGATTCACATATCTCATTAAGCCCCATGCATAAGACACTAACATTTTCAGGACACAGGCAAATGATGGGAGAACAACTTTATGGTCTGAGTGTCAGAAGCCTGCAAGATCTGGAGAATCAACTGGAAATGAGCCTCCAAGGTGTCCGTATGAAAAAGGTCAAGTGCTTTTTAAATTCACTCGATAAGGAAGAAGGGAATGGAAGTAAATTTGCTTGCTTGATTAATCTCATTAAGGACCAAGCTGAGCACTAGAAATCAATTAACAAGTTTAGTCAAATTCTGCAGGAACAAATTCTAAAGGATGAAATTCAAGAGCTGAACCGGAAGGTCTTTCTAAAATAACTTCTGTTCTCAAAACTTTTACAACATTGACTGAACTTCACATTTTCCTTTTTTTCACAAACAGGGAAACCTTATCTTCCAGGAAAATGTGGAACTTTACAAGAAGGTAAACCTCATTCACCAAGAACACACACTAATATGCAAAACGGTAGCCCAGCTTAGGTAATATGTATGGCTTCCCAAAAAATTACAAGGGACTTATCTTCACATAGGCCATGAAGTGCAACAATTGAAAGCACAGATGCTTAACGATGAGGCTTGATGTCCCAGGTGTATGGTACAACAGATACAGCCACAACAAGCAGAAATGCATTTGTTCCACTTCCATTTGGTATGCATGCAGGAGGGCCTCCACAAGAATTAGTCCAGCTTCAGTTATGCCAGCCTGAGCAAGAAGCTTATGAGACATCAGACACTGCCACAAAATAATGGTCAAGTCTTATTTGGTCTAATATTTTAGTAATGCTTTTGGAAAAAGAAAGCTATATGATGATATATGCAGCTCAATAATGAATCACACAAGAAGCGAAGAGCTCTAGGCCTAGGGGATGAATGCTTCTTCTCACTTTACTTCCCTAAGAGAATTCCAGCAGAGAACAATGCACTCCCTGATATTGTATTGGTTATGTAAAATCTAATCAGTAAAATGACATTTGCTTGTAAAACTTCATATGAAAAAAAAAATCTAGAATAACACAACGTGGACCTAAATTTTTCCTTCTTTAACCAATTCTTCTTGGAGGAGATAAACCATAATGTATGATATCCAACACAAAAATTTCTCTGTTAACCCTACAAAAACACAGAAAACAAAAACTAAGATAAATACTGTATCAGCTCTAGAGCTATTTTGAACACACAAAAAAACAAAGCCTTTACAACTATGAAGGTCCAACACATCACTCTCATGCTAAGCGAAGTCATTGATTAGCATTTCATTTACGCTAGTAACATTCAATACGCGGTTTCTCACACATGCAAATGCTATTTTGTTGCATGCTCTCTTATTGTTTGTAGCTGCACACAAATGCAAAAGTTCACTTTGCAAGTGTTAGTGCTGTGTATATCCATCACTACAGAAATCCAATCCAACAGCATTTCATTGAAGCAACTAAGAGACATACATGTTTAAGATAAAAATGGAATGATATGAATAGGGTGGATTTTGATGTTGCGATTGTGGATGCAAAGAAGGTTGAAGAAAAAATGGTTGTTAATTGATGGTACCTGCACTGCAGGATAAAGAGATGGAAACAGAATATCTAAGGAACGCGTGGGAGAGGAACAAAGTATCCAACCCAAAACCTTACTTGTATCCATTATTTTTATAGTCGTTCACATAAGATAAGGAATTAATTGATGACTCTTTTCAAGAAAAATCACTAAAAATTTGCAATATCAATAATATATGAATTCAACTCACACATAAAATATTAACACTAATATGTTTCATTATAACAATGGACTTATGGATCTTCATGTTGGACTTTCTTACTTTTACCGAACAATTGAATTCCCGACCATCAATTAAGTGGTGCGATCCAAGTCATATATGTATCAACTTAGTACCTGCACTTGTCCTGCTGTTTTCCACATGTTTTCCATGACAAACACGACATTATAATTTTGGCAAATATTGATACGTTACCTTTCCTGGTCTATGTCTGTCTATACAAGAGAAACAAATTTCTTATATATATTGGAAAATTTGTTTATTCACTACTTTTTCCTTTCCATTTTTCAAAATGGTCTTAGTGTGTTTGGTTTGGCCAATTGTCGTGGTAATCAATTGTGATAATATATGATTATGGAAAATGTCTTCCTCTCTAAATAAAATAAAAGGCTTAAATTCTTTTTTTGTCTATATTTTTATCGACTTTATTTAATGTAGGACTATTTTTTTAGATGTTCAATGTAATCAGATAATTTATGTTCAATTGCAGGTGGATGATCAATCTGTGCGTGGAAAGATGCAGGTGTGGTTCACGTTTTGGACGAAAATGGCGATCGCTGACGATATGTNTATATATTGGAAAATTTGTTTATTCACTACTTTTTCCTTTCCATTTTTCAAAATGGTCTTAGTGTGTTTGGTTTGGCCAATTGTCGTGGTAATCAATTGTGATAATATATGATTATGGAAAATGTCTTCCTCTCTAAATAAAATAAAAGGCTTAAATTCTTTTTTTGTCTATATTTTTATCGACTTTATTTAATGTAGGACTATTTTTTTAGATGTTCAATGTAATCAGATAATTTATGTTCAATTGCAGGTGGATGATCAATCTGTGCGTGGAAAGATGCAGGTGTGGTTCACGTTTTGGACGAAAATGGCGATCGCTGACGATATGTAGTGGAGGTACGTGGTGGCTGACAGTGGTAACTAAGGTTTATGATGTATTGGGAGATGGAAGATAATGACGTGATAATATAAACACTATATTCGGCGGATCACCTGAGAAAAAATTGAATAACTCGTTGAACTACTGCCAACGTATACAATCTCTCGTTAAGAATTTAGGTGACATCATAAAAAATTAATAAACTGAATATAAATTATCAAAATTAGAACCACGTTGAACATCCATAAAATAATGAGTCCTATATTAAAAAAATCGACAAAAAAAATGAAAAAAAAATCATACCTAAATAAAAAAAATATGACTTTAGTCTTATAATTTTTTAACATGGAATTAATTTTCTTTAGGATTATTTTTTCTAGAGTATATAAAAAAATTACCTACTTTTTATCTAAAATTTGTGTTTGACTTTCCAAGTATATTTTCATATACTATTTTGATACAGAAATATGATGTTTTGAGTTATAAAACAATACTTATTTTAAATATACATACATAAAAAAGAAAATAGCACAAGTGGAAAATATATTTTTTATATCAATTTTTTATATCTGTTAAAATTCACCAGGCATAAAATATGGTATGATGGCAGTTTTGTAAATATGATAAACTTTTTTATACCGATTATATTAAAAATAGGTATAAAAGGTGGGAGGATTATAAAATACAAATATTTTACACCGCTTGCAATCCTAACAAGTATAGAAAATCCTTTTTTTTATACCTACTAACTCTAGACCAGGTATACATTATTGATTATTTTACATTTCCCGCCGCCATACTTTATCTTCTACGCAAAAATTTGCCATTGTTCTCCGTTTGGACAAGGAGGTTGGGTGAAGCTGCATAGTTGTCACATCTTCCCAAGAAGCAACATTCACATCTTCTCTCTCGCAAGCATTTCTCATTGTGCTCGAGAGCATCTTGACCATCACAGTCGCTCGAGAGCATCTTCTCTCTCGCAAGCATTCATATCTTCAGTGGCTCGAGAGCTTATCCTTCACCATCACAGAGCATCTTCCTCACCTTTAGGTTAGGGTTTCTTTCTCATTTCCTCATTTTTTCATCTTTGACCGATTGAAACTTCATTTAAACATTATTTCACCTTCAATCTACATTTTCCACAGATTATAATCACATTCTACCGATTATAATCCCTTTCCACCATTTAAAACCCCTTTTCCACCGATCAATCGGTCCATTATAGGGTTCCTTGGTTCCTTTAGGGTTTTGCACCGATTAAACCATCAAGTTCTCTAGTCTAAGGCAAACATTTGATGACTGCCCTATCAAGTTACTTAGCCTATTTTCTAGTTGATTTAAACCATGTATATAGTCTCATTACTATAGTTGTTATGAACTGTATGTAGGTAAAGTTTTGGGGTTGCTTGGAAGTGGGCAGCTGGAACAATCCATCAGAGTCTCTTCTTAATGAACTAAGAACCGTTGAGGTATGTTTATGTATTTATTTATTGTTGTCTGATTCCTCTATCATTCATTATAAAGCACCCAATGGCCTGATTGGGCTCTACAGTGCACACTTCTGTATTTGTTGTTTTCCAGTTTCCCTCATTTAGTTCATTACACCTTTATTTTAATGGTTACTGGAAAAGGCAGTTTCCTATCAGAACAGAATGGAATGCAATTAAAAGACAATGGTGTTTTGTGAATAATGCTTGGAAATTATAATGCTTTGCAGGGGTGATTCCAAAATCTCATCACCATACGACTATATGTGGTTGGTTATCAAATGTTTATAATCTTCAATTTGGTTAAATTGACATTTTGAACCTACAAAATTTATAATTGTTGATAGAAATTCTGGATCAAACCAGAATTTTAGTCCAACAAGAATAATACACTGATCTCCTTTCAGAGTCTTTCTCTCATAAACATACTTAGTACAAACTACCCACTTAATACAGAAATTGTCATGCCATCTACATATATAAAACTATTCAACAACTATTACACACACCCATAAATTCTTCGTGCCTATATTGCTTCCTAAAGATGCAAATTGTTGCCCAATACTAATGCTGCATCTAGGTGAGAGGAGAGAAAAAATAGATAATATGTTTACTGTTTGTTCTGTTGAAGACAAAATAAAGGGGAAAAAAATGAACTTTCAGTAAAAAGATTTTAATTTTTTCTTTCCTTCCATTTTCTCTTCAATTCATATTTCAACTTTTTCTTTCCTCTCAAACAGAGGGTAATGTTTCATATATGTGACTACCTAAAGAGACTCTGCATCAAAATATCGTTGTGAAAAAATTGTAAATAATGTGAAAAAGCTATTATATATATGTAAAGGGATTTTCACAAATGTTCTCTAAATCTAATAATGTGTTTTAAAGCTGCTATATATAAAGGGATTTGCACAAATGTTTAGGTTCAATTAAAAAGTTCATCCATACCTATTTGTAAGATGTTAGGATCTGATTATAAAGGATGAGAAAATGTTTAGTATTTGTTGTTTATGAGGGTGTTGGCTCTCCAACTTTCCAATTACAATGTCGAGATTTTTTTTATTTAATTTTACTGGAACATGTTATCTTACTAAAAGTTTCATAGTTTGAATATATAAACAATGTTGTATGGTTGAGCGTATAACTATTTTTATTTCTAGTAATTCTAGTAGGTAGCAGTAAATTCTATAGATGATTCATTCTTTTTTCTTGTTAGAGAGAAAGAGGTAAAGAGAAAAATGTAGTAAGGTGGGTGTACACATCTGATACGAGTACCATAACTCGTCTTCCACGCCATGTTACATGGAAGAGAGCTCGTCAAAGACCATCTCGGGAGTACACATCTGAGGAAACTGTGAGCATAGTTAGGCGCATTGTAAGTTCATATAATAACAATATATGATCTCCCATATGTGATTAACTTAACTTTAAATATTTGGTTGTAGGATGAGTTTGTTGAGCAGAGCACATATGGTACATTCACTCCTGAGGGTCGTTAGGACATATTGGCATTTGCCATTGGTCGTCCAGAGCATTCTGGACGTGTTCGAGGTGTTGGTAAATTTATTGGCATCCGTCAATTCTTTGGTCCTCCAACAAGTCATCATAGTAAATCCCATGTTAGTGAGGAGGTCCTCAAGGGTATAAGAGAAGAAATTAGACAGGAGATGAGGGAGGAGATCAGTGAGATGAAGAAAGAGTACGGTGATATGAGAGCACAATTGAAGAAGGAGTACTCTGATATGCGGGCACAATTGTTAGCAGATGTGCGAGCAAAATTAGCCTCCTCCTCAAGCCAACCTAGGAATCTTCCTCAACATTCTCATCTTTATATAAGCACAAAGGAGAGTTGTGATGTTTCTCCTCAAAATGCTTCTACCACTATTGATGCAGACTACGAGTTGTTTAGTGATGATGCCTACAGTGCTTGGTGGCCTTAGGTAATTTATCTTATTATATTGTCTAGATGTACTTGTTTGTTGAATTATATCTTTGATATATTTTACAAATATTATTTGGATAACTTAGGTAAAATGTATACATTGGGGTCAACCATACACCATGAAACCATTACATCCGATATGATGAGAGTAGTGGTTGTAGACGTACGAAATGCTACAGCTCGAGTCCCTATGCTCACTGAAGATGTTCAGACAGTGGGACAGGCCCTTGGAAATTTTATCCTTTTGGCCCCTTAGATTATCAAGAGCATTGAAAGAAGGTAATGGTTTTTTATATGCACTGTGTTGATTTATTAGTAATATTAATATTTTGTAAGTTTTTAAATATGTATACCAGGTTGAAGCACAAGGGCAGGAAGATATGAATGAATCACTGCAACAACAGTTGCAGCCGCTACAACACATAATTCTAGAACAACTTGGTGTGTTGGCAGTGAAGATCTCCCTTTCTCCTATAGAGTTACAAATGCCTCCTGAAGTCAGAAAACAGGACATCTTACTCTTTTTCTCATATGTCAAAGGGATATTTTTGAATTCTCTCTGGCACTGATATGTTATGTATATCAGTACTAAAACTTTGGTTGTTGTAAGTAAATTTCTACAATTTATGACGTTAAATATATTTCAATATTTTATCTAAACATATCTTTTTCAATGTTTAGGTATTTACATCGGTTGACCATTGAAAAGAAAGAAATGATCACATTTACGTTTTATTGACCCTGTTGCCATTCAAGGAGTTGGGAATTAAAGTGAAGAGGTCCAAAATACCTCTTAGAGGCTTTTGTAACACGGAAAAAAAAAGAAAAAAAGCAAGTGTACTTAGCACTATTTGCAACAGTAAAGTAATAATTGTTTATATAAAATTTTTATTTATGTAAATGTTATTTAACTATATTGTTTGAATCTACAGGGGTCACTGGCAATTGTTAATAATCTTCCTCAACAGTTTCTTATAGTTTCTATATCATGCACAAAAAACTCACACTTGGCAATTAAAAAATACACTAATATTGTAAGTGTTTAATAATTTATTTGAGTGTAGACTATCTGATTTTACTAAGTTCCTTAGGACTCATTTTCAAGTACATTTAACTTTATAGATTGGTTTGAGGCATATTCAAGGTGCAGGAACACATATCGTCGCTAGAAAGAAGTTGACCAGTTCATGGCCACCAAAACTGTAAGTAGTTAATCTTTCAAATATAAAATTACAATTATCAATTTTATGATACTTTATAAATTTAACTTGTAGTCCCACGTCGACTGGGAGTTTGAATGCGGATATTTTCATAAGGGCCATGCAGAAAAATTATATCCGACAAATGTCGTGATCATGGAAATTGGTAACGTGAACATTTTATAAATAATGATCTTAGTCTTAATTTATAGCTTACTCAAACTATTCATTGTGTAGATATTTGATGACACGTATCCAATGGAACAACATGTCATAAGGATGTTCGGGAGCAAGTGCTGCTTTTTTTCTTTTAACCATTTGTAAAATAATTGGATGTTTTTTTTTTTCAATATTACATTTTGAGTGAGGAATATTTTTATGGTTAATATGTTGAGTAACTATGTTAGGTAAATATAGTAGGAACTGTTAGGTAGATATTACATGTTGATGTGTTGATTGAAAACATATGATTATTGGACTTAATTACCTACTTAGTCCCCATGTTCGGAGGTAATTTGCTGTTTAGTACACCGGTTTTTTAAATATTGTAGGCATTGATACCTAGTTTTGAAATTTGTATCAATTGAATCCTACCCACTAACGCCGTGTTATAAATATAACGTTTTTTCGGAATGTGTATGTGATTTGTGGAACGAGCGGTTTTATGGACGAGCGGTCGCTTCGTTGGACGAGCGTCCTTGATAGAGGGTCGCACCTCCCACAAAAGTTGTGCATAAAAGAATGCAGTATAGACTAGGAAGCGAATCCTAGGTCGTCTCTCAAGGACCAATTTTGGTCAGTCTCAATCAAACACATTGTGGGGGGGGTTTTGTAAATGTGTTGTGATTCGAAACGAATGAAATTAAAACTAGAATTAAATACAACCAAACATAATTGAAAACATAAAGGGAAAACACTGGAATAAAAACATCAATGTTTAATTGTTTGGACCAATAGGATGCAATGGTAAAGGTATAAAAAAAAAAAAATTAAATGCCTCATTGTATGAACACAACATACAAGACAAGAAACGAAATGCATGGAACGCATCACACTACTAAAGGAAAGAAAGGCATCAACAGTAAAGGCTAATTAAACTAGAAAAATCTAAATGCAAATTAATATATGAAATATAAATTGCACTTGTGTGTGAAGCCTAAATAAGA